CCAGGGCAGCCCCCCCCCTGGGCCTCGGACACCTTTATTTTCGTGTCGTGTCGTGTCGTGTCGTTCGTCGCCGCTGTCTCCCCTGCTGCGCCCCCCTTGCCCCACCCCCTCCAGGATTCCCCAGGGCAGCAGCCCCCCCTTGGGCCGCTTGGGCCTCGGACACCTTTTATTTTCGTGTCGTGTAGTGTCGTGTCGTCGTCTGCCCCCTGCCCCCGCCCCCTCGCTTGCCCCGCCCCTCCAACCCTTCCAGGGTCAGCCCCCCCCTGGCCTCGACCCTTTTATTTTCGTGTCTGTCGTGTCGTGTCGTTCGCGCCCCTGCCCCCTCTGCCCCCCCCCTCCCCCCCCTCCAGGCTTCCCAGGGCAGCCCCTCCCTGTCACAGCTTCCCAGGTACTCCCTCGCCCCCCCCCCTGTCCACGCTTCCCAGGGTGGCCCCCCTGGGCCACGGAACTTTTTATTTTCGTCGTTCGTCGTGTCGTTCGCCCCCCTCGCCCCCCCCCCTGTCCACGCTTCCCAGGGTAGCCCCCCTGGGCCACGGAACCCTTTATTTTCGTCGTTCGTCGTGTCGTTCGCCCCCCTCCCCCCCCCCCTGTCCACGCTTCCCAGGGTAGCCCCCCTGGGCCACTTTTATTTCCGTGTCGTGTCGTGTCGTGTCGTTCGTCCCCCTGCCCCCCCCCTCTGCCCCCCCCCGCCCAGGCTTCCCAGGGCAGCCCCCCTGAGCCTCGGACACCTTTGTGCAAGAGCCAGGGCACGCGTGCCACTTGTTTCCGTCGTCATTCCCGACGTTTTTCGGTAATTACACAGGGATATGTCCGACGTCATTTCTACCCGGAGACAGGGGGGTATAGAAAACTCCACTTCCGGAGCCCCCCCGGATCGGCGGCACTGGCCGGAGGCCAGCCCAATATTCAAAACATGTGCAAAAGATGCCCCAGAATACTCAGAAAAATAGCCATCAGACCATTGGTTTGGCTATTTTTGGGTATCCCTCCTGTAGAGAGACAGGCCCGACTTCAACCTCCCCTCAGTGAACACGGCCTGGGACCGAGATATCCGCGCGGACCTCCGAGTTTTTATGTTTGTGCCACTCCTCTTCGTTCCCCTGGTTTCTTCTTCTCGCCGGTGGACAAGCCTCCCTTTCGTAGGCCTCCCCTCCGGGAACCGAGAAATCCGCGCGGACCTTCGAATTTTATGTTCATGTCACTCTTCGTTCCCCTGGTTTCTGCTTCTCGCCGGTGGACACACCTCCCTTTAGTAGACCTCCCCTCAATGAAAACGGCCCGGGACCGAAACCGACGGACCTGGACCCGCAAAAGCGACGGCCGCGGCGCCCTCTCGCGAACCGAAAACGGCCGATTCCTGAATCGACGTGTCAGGGTAGAAGGTCTGTCCACCCCCCGAGTCAAGCACGTCCGGGGTAGGAGGCCGGTCCACGTCGCGGTGCGAAGAGCAACAAGACGCTGAAAATCAGAGTCACTACTCGCCGGGTGGATTCGCTGGGATTCGGGCCCCAAGGCCCTCGTAAGTAGGCCGATCCCGCCCGAGAAGGGCCGCAGAGGGATGCGGTGGTCCAGGGCTCTGGTCTTTCAGGGGCGTCAGAGAAGGGGGCGTCCAAGAGTGGGGCTCGCAAATCATGGCCCGAGGCACGTGCGCGGGCAAGGGGGGGCCAGGGAACGCATTGAAGTAACAAGAGAGGCCATGACAATCTGGGAAGATGTGATGGCCCTGGCCATGATATCCTTTCCCCCCCCCCTGGGCATCCCCCCCCCCTTGGCCGCCCCCGATCTTTCACCTTTCACGACTCAAATGGCGGCAGGGCTTCCCAGAAGCCCTCGGGCTTCCTGAGAGGTGTTCTGTCTTCCGGGACGGCTGCGGCTTCGAACACCCCTCAGAAGGCCGGGGCTTCCGAGCCTTCTGAGGAGGCCCGCCCCTGCTCACTTTCACCACGGACTCGTCGCCGAGTCCAAAACTTTGGTCGGGTATGTCCCTCTACGGGCGGATTTTGGTGGTGTTCTTTTGATGTCTTGCTTTGTTTTTGAGCAGAAAAAAAAAAAAGAAAAAAAAAAAAAAAAAAAAGAAAAAAAAAAAAAAAAAAAAAAAAAAAAAAAATAAAAAAAAAAAAAACAAAAAAACAAAAAAAAAAAGAAAACAAAAAAAAAAAGAAAAAAAAAAAAAAAAAAAAAAAAAAAAAAAAAAAAAAGAAAAAAAAAAAAAAAAAAAATAAAAAAAAAAAAAAAAAAAACAAAAAAAAAAAAAAAAAAAAAAAAAAAAAAAAAAAAACAAAAGAAAAAAACAAAAAAAAAAAAAAAAAAAAAAAAAAAAAAAAAAAAAAAAAAAATAAAAAAAAAAAAAAAAAAAAAAAAAAAAAAAAAAAAAAAGAAAAAAAAAAAAAAAAAAAAAAAAAAAAAAAAAAAAAAAAAAAAAAAAAAAAAAAAGAAAAAAAAAAAAAAAAAAAAAAAAAAAAAAAAAAAATTGCTTTGTTTTTGAGCAGAAAAAAGCAATGAATGCTCGAAACCATCGGAAATACTTGAAAATTGAGCAAGGACCGACCGTCCCGGCATTCCTTATAGTCTATAATCCTGCCACGAAACGATGTTCTTAGAACCGTTAACCGCGATGTGTTTAAACCAAGGCAGTCTCAACCAAAATGTTCTAAGAACATCTCGTGCAACCTTCTAAGAGCAAACACAAAGGTTCTTAGAACATTGTTCGGTGGGGCTACAGGCGAGCCGGGACGCTCCGCCACTGCTTGATTACCAAACAAGCGTCCCCAGCTATTATCTTTGGACTACCTGTTAGATTTTTCCTGCAGAATTGGCATGCCCCACTGGCTCGGGTGCAGACCTGCATCGGGTCATGCGGGGGCCACTGCGGCCCGAGGCTCAGGCCTGCCCCGGGGGCCCGTGGCGGCGCACGCCCGGCGTCCTCCGAGGCGGGCCGAGGGTAGCTCGCGCCGTGCCTGCCCTGAGGGGCACTGTTTTAAACCACCACCACCACCATGAGCTGGAGGGGGAGGGGGTCCTCCTCCTCCTCCTCCTCCTCCTCCTCCTCCTCCTCCTCCTCTTCCATTCCTCCTCCTCCTCCTCCTCCTCCTCCTCTTCGTCCTCCTCCTCCTCGTCCTCCATCTCCTTCCCCCTCCAACTTATGGTGGTGGTGGTGGTGGAAAACAGGCCCAACATGCCCTGCCCCGCAGGCACAACGAGCCGGGACTTGGGCCAAGAGGAAAGCTCCGGCCAGGAGGCGGCCGCGACGCCGAGGGGGTCTGCGCATTTCTCGATGCTGAGGAACAATTCTGGAGGCCACGCGCGGCGACTTGAGACTGGATTTACGTCTGATCCACGTCGGATTTACGTCGGGTTCACCTCGGGCACGTCGGATTTACGTCGGACTGACTCTGGAGCATCGCCGCGCGAGCGTCGACCCATGGCTTACGGAACTGACGTGTGGACTAAATCATGCCACTGTGTCGCGCCGCGAGAGGCCTCCAGGATGCTCCTCGTAACTTCTCGATGCTCCGTGCTCGTGACATTCACTGCTGTGCACCTCGTGCTGCTCGTCTGCGTTGTTACTTTTTGCTAGTGTGTTACAAAGTGGTGTATGTTGGAAGCTGGGCGAAGGCTGGCAAATCCGTGGCTGCTAAAACGGTCTTCCCGGAAGAAAACAAACAATTTCCCATAATCAAGAAAGAACAAGGGCTGGTTCCTAGAAGAAGATGCTCAGCGCACGAAATAGTAATAGGGCTGCTTCCTGAAAGAAAGGAAACCATTTCCTGGAGCTTCGTGTCACCAGCCACGGGTTTGCCAACCGTCGCCCGGCTCCTGAGCATGTGGCGCCCTGCCGCTTCGCCGGCTGCTCTGCCGTGTCAGCACGCCCCAGTGCTCGTGTCTGGCCTTATTGCCGTGGCCCGTCCAGGGTTATTGCTGTTATTGCTGCGGCGCCGGCACGTCCACGTTCTTGCTGCTGCGCGGGCACGTCCGCGTTATCGCTGCGGCCTGTCGAGGGGGAGCCGCAACCGAGTCCGCTGCAAGATGTCTCGCACGGAGGGGAGCGGTGCCCGTGCTCTCTCGCTCTCTTGATATATCTCTATAACTTTCTCTTTGTATTCGTATGTATGTATCTCTCTCTCTCTTATTTCTCTCTCCCTCTCTCTCTCTTTCTCTCTCTCTCTTTCTGCCTCTGAATTTGGTTGCTCTCTCTTCGCCCTCGAGGTGCTCAAGAGGGGCCGCACGCGCGAGGTCGACGAGTGGCCACAGACCCGTGCAGCACTCTCCGAGGTGTGCTGCCTTCCTGCCTCCCCGTCTCCTCCTTGCCCTTCTGCCCCCCCCTCCCCCCCCTCGCCATCGCTCGGACGTCCATTTCGTGTACTTCTTTCGGTTTCGTGCGTGGTATTTTCGCCAAATGATCAAGGATGCTCCTCGATTGTCCTCGCCGAAGGAAACTTGCACACGTCCGAGCGATTCCGAGCCCCCCTCCTCGTCGTGACTTTGCCCAGCGTCCCCCCCCCCCCGCGGAGGTCCGGCCCCTGCCCGGCGGCTGGCCTGTCACCGTGCAAATCGCTTCTGGCCGGGGCCTTGGGCCTGACGAAGGCCCCGAGACCAAGAGAAAAGGACGGCATACGCATGAGTTCTCGGAGGTCCGCGCGGATTGCTTGCATCGGCGCTGACCCCCCTCCCTGGCGCGCCGCCAGGGGGGACCCAGCGCCGGTCCAAGCGATCCGCGTGGACCTCCGAGAAACCGCTTCTTGCTCTTCGCCCTCGCCGCTGTCCCCCCGAGCAGAGTGCTGCCGCGCCCCTGCCTACAGTCGGTCTTGATTGGACAGGACACGCGAGAGGACAGGGCCACATGGCCATAGGAGTGTAAGCGGGCACGTGTCGCGAGGCACGGGACACAAGGGCGCCTTTGAGCTGGCAGGGTCACCCTGCTGATCCAGGCCGACTGTAGCCCAGATCTGCCTGCGCGCTGGAGAGACCGCCCGCGCGCCCGCTGGCGTGCTGCCCCCCCTTCCTGCTCCGTGACGTGCTGCGGGGCCGCCGAAGGGCGCAGTGAGGTCTGCAGCCTGGCACGGCTCGCGGCGGTTCGGGGAGGACGGAAGAGGCCGAAGGAAGACGACGCAGGCAGAAGCATGAGGATGTGGATGAGGATGAGGACGAGGAGGAGGACGACGAAGGAGGACGATGTAGAACAACGGAGCAGGAGGAGGAGGAGGAGGAGGAGGAGGAGGAGGAGGAGGAACAGGAACAGGAGGAGGAGGAGGAGGAGGAGGAAGGAGGACGAGGAGGAGGGAAGGAGGACGAGGAGGAGGAGAACTGCAAAACGATACGGGAGGAGGGTCAGGAGGAGGAGGAGGAGGAGGAGGAGGAGGAGGACCAACGATACGACGTCCTCAACCTCCTCCGCCCACTCGCCGTGGGGAGGGGGGCCACGGAGCTCTGGGCATCGCCCCCTCCTGGCCACCCCCGCTTGGAAAAAGAGAAGAGAAAAAAAAAACAAAAGAAAGAAGAAAAAGAGAAGAAAGAAAAAAGAAAAAAAAGAAAGAAAAAAAAAAAGATAAAGAAAAAAAAAAGAAAAAAAAACGAGAGGAAAAAAAAGGGTGAGAAAGAAAAAAAGAAAAAAAGAAAAAAAAAAAGGCTCCGAAAGAAAAAAGGAAGGTGCCGGCATCTCTTGCGGGCTCGCGCCGCGACGGTCCTCGGCGTCGGCTCCACTGCCGTCCGAACTGGACCGCGCCCCCGCGCCATATCGCTGGCAACCCTGACCTCCGGCGCCGACCCGGGCGCGCTCCCCTCGCCAGGGACGGCCGCCGGAGCTTGGACCCCCCCTCCCTGGCGCGCTCCGCGCGCCATGGAGGGGGGGTCCAGCGCCGATGCGAGCAATCCGCGCGGACCTCCGTGCAGTCACGCTTGTGCAGGAGCTGCTCCTCCACAGGCTGTGTTCAGCGCCCGCATTGTTGGGGCCGCCGCCTCCTGGACGCGCCGAGGGCCTGCGCCGTGCCCTGCTGCCGGGCCGGGGGGGTCGGCATTGGAGGGCGGAAGCCCTTCCACAAAAGCACCTCGGGAACGGATCGGACAGGACAGGGCTGTTGTTGTGGTTGATGGCGGCACGGTGCCTGTGCCGTAGACGGCCTCGGCCGGAGGCCGAGAAAGTAGTTAGAGGTGTAACAAATGCCGGCCAGACGTCGCCTTAAGCCACACCCAGCCGGATGCAGGGCTGTCCGGTCAACGCTCCAGGCTGCTGCGCAAAACGCAAGTCGTGGGGCTCGTGTTGGATGTTTCTCCCCTGGGGGATGGGATGGGCTGGGATGGCAGGGCCGCCCAGCTCCTTCTTGTTCGGAGGTCCTCCGTGGTGCGGATTGTGTAGGACGTGTCCCCTACAGCGGTTGAATATTCAAAACGCTCAAAAAACACTCGTGACATCGGTCTGTGAGATCACTGTTTGGGCGCTCCTTTTTCGGTGTGGTTGCGGCCGCTGGGTTGCGATTGCGTTGCGTTGCCTTGGCTTGTCATTGCATTTACGTCGCAAAGCATTGCATTGGCATTGTTGGGGACAGCGTTGCATTAGTTGTTGCTTTGCGTTGTGTTCCTTCTTCGGAAGGACAGACCGACCGCACGCCACGTACATCGACAACGTGAATGCACAACGCAACACACGGCACGAAACAACACGCAAACCAACAAACCACAATGTAATGCAATGCCGCGCGAAGCATTGTCAACATCCCCGAATCGTTGCGAAGCCGAGCGAGCCCCTGCTACGTTAGAGCAATCATGGCCAATAGCCGACCCAACGAGCGGGCGAAACCAGTTGGGGTATATGACAACCCTTGGGCCCATTAGCGCATTTGCAGCCACCGTAAGAGTGGCCCGCACTATGGTTCCCAGTTCCGCGCATGCGGCCGTGTTTTCTTGAAATCGTTTAAAACCCTGGGATGTGCAGTGATATTTTGTTTATAATGAACAATACCCCGCCCACAACGTTTGAAACGAATACCAAGTCGGCAATGTTTCCGAAATGGACGCTAATTGGGGTTGCGCTGGCGTCTTCAGCACGTGGCAGTTGCACCTTGCGTAGCCAGTTTTGGCTCAAGTAAGGCTTTCCTCCATATTCACGAGAACGTCGTTTCTCTTCATGTGCTACGTATGATGAAGTCTCTTTATCTTCTCGCCGCTATCTTGCGCGGCTGCATGGATCAATGGGCTCATCTTTCATTACGCTCACAGCCAGACCAATGGGCTGAACTTGCTTCTGATGACGCTGGTGGTGGCATCCAACTTGTATTGGCACTCCAACCTGTATTGGCACCGAGGCCTGTATTGGCACCGACAACGCTAGCATTGGCACCGAGACCTGTATTGGCACCGAAACGGCGCGGCCGACCAAAGAAGCACCCTGGGCCTGCTACGGACGTGCGTGCCTTGGCGGTAGAAGCACCACCGCCTGCCAAACGACGCCGACCGACGCTCGCTGCAATCGAGTACGACGTGTTCCATGATGTTGTTTGCGGTTCAATCGTCCCTTTCGTGCCGTCGCCCCTGGGGCCAGCGCTGCAAGGCGCGTGGGCTCTGGCGGGGCCTGGTATATTGGACAACGACTGCAGCCTATGCAAGTTAGCCTCAAACATGTTCACCTTCAACACAAAGGGCCACCACATATGCAGCTTGGTATCGGTCAGTGAATCTGTGGGGTGCTCCAGTGGCACAGCTCGGCGATACTCCATGCGATTGGCTGGGTGCGCAGTTCAGGCAGATTGTTTCGGCAGGGGGTTGCTGGAAAAAAACTTGTGCGGCAGATCCAACGTTCCAATGTTTACACTATGTGGAAGGAGAATACTATGACGAAACTCCCATGCCCATTCGCCTTCGTGACTCGCACCTTGATTGCGACATGCAATTGCTCCTCGAGTTCGTGGAAATATTTCAGCCTTCAGCGATTCACAACGGTAAGGTTCTACAGGAGAAGCTCCCCAAATTCATGCAGGATGCGTTCACCGAAACATCTACGGCAAAGCTCTTACACATACAATCGTCTTACTCAATGTTGGTTTCCAAGACGGTCGACGGCATCGCCAAGTACATGACCATTTCTGGGGAGTCGGTGAACGCGCTGCTTGCCCTGGACAGGGTCCCTGGGGAGGCGACGCGGGAAGCGCTCAAGCGCGTCTGGGGGATATCTCTTGGACGCAAAGCTTTCGAGCAGCACGTCAGGGTCGTGTGCGCCGACAAGGGGTCATCGAATGCGAAGTGCGAGAGGGGCATCAAGAGCTCAGAACGAAAAGGTTGGCAACATTTGCATTTATATTGTGGTATACATGTGGCGGCTACGAGCCACAAGTCTACTTTTGGTTTGATGGAACGCACAATCTCTGGAATGATACGCTGCGCTTTGTCTTTGAAGCTGTCTGGGCAGATGTCGTCATTCAGGCGCACGCTGAAACAAGTCATCATTGAGATGCTCGATGTGCAATTTGGCGTGCCTCCCCGCGCGGCGGACGTGCATCGTCGGAGGGTGCTCGCGCTGTTTTGCAGGAGCGGCAGAAATCTTATCAGAAAGTTCGCTGCGTTGAACAAGTCTGCAAATGGGGATTGGAGGAACACGAGACATGTTGAAATCGCTGGCGCTTCGCGCACCCCCGTCGGCCTTTTCAGGAAGATGTTGAGATGCTCAGGCGAGTTGCCTTGATGAGGGAAGCGTAAAGGCGTAAAGGCATGCAATGGAATGCACCGCTTCCCCACCAGCGTGCTACCCATTGGGCTCTTGGGTTGCATGGGGGTTCTACGGCCCGAGGGCCCACCTTAGGGGAGAGGGAGGGGTCAAGGGGGCATTGACAGAACACGTCGGTGGACATCTCGGTGGGGATGCGCATTTTTTGGTTTTGACAACGCGGACCCCTGCTAGAGGGGGAGGGCGGCGACGACGACGACGACGACGACGACGTGGGAGGCTGTTCGAGGCCGCTTGGGCCCATCTTGAGGCATCATTGGGGCCGCGTTGGGGCGTGCGGGGCCCTCCTGGGAGCCTCCTGTCTGCATGGTGCGTTCGCCCGTTCTTCGTGCGCCAGCCCCGCGACTGCGAACGGCATGAGTGCGACGTCTGTCGCAGCATCCTTCCGCGCAGTGGAGACACGAGACAAGGGAAACTCCTGCACTCGGAGATCGCCCGCCCCCTTCCCCCCTCCTTTCGGGGAGGGGAAGGGGGGGGGAGTAGGGCTGGAAGAACGAGCCCCTTGAACCGCTCAAGCCCGAAAGGGCAGATGGATTTACTTGGACATGCGCCCCGAGAACACCACCGAGGCAGATATTATCAAGATAAAATCTTGGGTAGCGGAAGGCATGGCGCTTTGCTTTGCATCCAAGGCGTTCACTGTGTTCCCTCGCCACAGGTGGACTGGTAGTGGAGATGCGGTCGACGAGATCGGGGGGCCGGAGTTCTGCCACGGCCTCCTGAGCGCTACTTACCCGAGGTGGGCTGCTTCACAAGGAACCCGTGCTCGCAACGCCCGACGCCCGCAACATCAGGTGGGGGCCCCGCCGCGCGTGGATGAAGCCATCGAGGACATCGAAGCTGATCCCGTTGGCGACGGCCCAGGAGGCGGCCAAGAGGCCGACGATGAGGCCCCGCGCAAGCCAGAGGCCGCAGGCGCTGCTTCTGCTGCCAACGATCCCAGGAGCGCCAACCTCGATAGCAGTACGTGGGCCGAGCTGAACGCGAAGGACAGGCTCTTTGCGACCCAGTGGGTGACATCGAATCCAGCCGCGGACTTGGTCATTCTGAGGTTGGCGCTCCACCCGCTGACGACCACGCTGCATGCGCAACTCGACATGTCCAGCGCCGATTGGGAGGACAAGCAGCGCCGATCCGAAGCGATGGCGAGGAAATCACACGGAGCTTCAGGACCAGGCGACATCGCTCACACCAGCAGGTCCTTTCGAGTTGTGGAAGTGGCAGAGTGCAAGCTAGAGCAAGAGTGTCTAGACAGCTTGTCGTACTTGTATGACGAGGACATCATGTGGACGTTGATAGGCGATGGGCGTTGCACTAACGAGACGAATTCTTTCATATTCA